GAACAGTATTTAGATAAGGCTAAAGAGGTCTTTGTGGCATTTATGGATTTGGAAAAGGCGTATGACAGGGTGGATAGGGGGGCAATGTGGCAGATGTTGCAGGTGTATGGTGTAGGAGGTAGGTTACTGAAAGCAGTGAAGAGTTTTTACGAGGATAGTGAGGCTCAAGTTAAGAGTACATAGGAAAGAGGGAAATTATTTCCCAGTAAAAGTAGGCCTTAGACAAGGATGTGTGATGTCACCGTGGTTGTTTAATATATTTATAGATGGGGTTGTAAGAGAAGTAAATGCGAGGGTCTTGACAAGAGGCGTGGAGTTAAAAGATAAAGAATCACACATAAAGTGGGAGTTGTCACAGTTGCTCTTTGCTGATGACACTGTGCTCTTGGGTGATTCTGAAGAGAAGTTGCAGAGATTGGTGGATGAATTTGGTAAGGTGTGCAAAAGAAGAAAATTAAAAGTGAATACAGGAAAGAGTAAGGTTATGAGGATAACAAAAATATTAGGTGATGAAAGATTGGATATCAGATTGGAGGGAGAGAGTATGGAGGAAGTGAATGTATTCAGATATTTGGGAGTTGACGTGTCAGCGGATGGGTCTATGAAGGATGAGGTGAATCATAGAATTGATGAGGGGAAAAGGGTGAGTGGTACACTTAGGAGTCTGTGGAGACAAAGAACTTTGTCCTTGGAGGCAAAGAGGGGAATGTATGAGAGTATAGTTTTACCAACACTCTTATATGGGTGTGAAGCATGGGTGATGAATGTTGCAGTGAGGAGAAGGCTGGAGGCAGTGGAGATGTCATGGCTGAGGGCAATGTGTGGTGTGAATATAATGCAGAGAATTCGTAGTTTGGAAGTTAGGAGGAGGTGCGGGATTACCAAAACTGTTGTCCAGAGGGCTGAGGAAGGGTTGTTGAGGTGGTTCGGACATGTAGAGAGAATGGAGCGAAACAGAATGACTTCAAGAGTGTATCAGTCTGTAGTGGAAGGAAGGCAGGGTAGGGGTCGGCCTAGGAAGGGTTGGAGGGAGGGGGTAAAGGAGGTTTTGTGTGCAAGGGGCTTGGACTTCCAGCAGGCGTGCGTGAGCGTGTTTGATAGGAGTGAATGGAGACGAATGGTTTTTAATACTTGACGTGCTGTTGGAGTGTGAGCAAAGTAACATTTATGAAGGGGTTCAGGGAAACTGGCAGGCCGGACTTCAGTCCTGCAGATGGGAAGTACAGTGCCTGCACTCTGAAGGAGGGGTGTTAATGTTGCAGTTTAAAAACTATAGTGTAAAGCACCCTTCTGGCAAGACTGATGGAGTGAATGATGGTTAAAGTTTTTCTTTTTCAGGCCACCCTGCCTTGGTGGGAATCGGCCAGTGTGATAATAATAAAAAAAAATAAAAATTCAGGGAAACCGGTTATTTTTATGTAGCCGGACTTAAGTACTGGAAATGGGATGTACAATGCCAGCACTTTAAAGGAGGGGTTTGGAATATTGGCAGTTTGGAGGGGTATGTTGTGTATCTTCATACGTATATGCTTCTAAACTGTTGTGTTCTGGGCACCTCTGCATAAACATTGATTATGTATGAGTGAGGTGGAAAGTGTTAATGATGAAAGTTTTTTCTTTTTGGGGATTTTCTTTCTTTTTGGGTCACCCTGGCTCGTTGGGAGATGTCCAACTTGTTAAAAAAAAAAAAGGGTCTGTAAAGAAAATAAGTTGACAGTGAACATAGATTAAAGTGATGAGAGTATCAGACGAGTTAGGAGAAAAAATTGGATATCAGACTGGAGGGAGGGAGTATGGAATAAGTGAATGTGTTCAGATATTTGGGAGCAGACTTGTCAGCAGATGGGTTTATGAAGGATGAGGCACACCATAGAATTGATGAAGAAAAAAGGTGGGTGATGCATTGAGGTATCTGTAGAGACAAAGAAAGTTTTCCATGGAGGCAGAGAAGAGAATGTATGGGTGTGAAGCATGGGTTGTGAATGTTGCAGTGAGAAAGAGGCTAGAGGCAGTGTAGATATCATGTCTAAGGGCATTGTGTTGCATAAATATTATGCAAAGAATTCGTAGTGTGAAAATTATGGGAAGGTGTGGAGTTACTAAAATAATTTTTCAGAGGGCTGAGGAGGGGTTGTTGAGGTGGTTTGGTCATTTAGAGAGGATGGAGCAAAATAGGATGACTTAGAGGGTGTATAAATCTAGTTGAAGGTTAGAGGGGTAAGGATCATCCTAGAAAAGGATGGAAGGAGTGGGTATAAGAGGTTTTGTGTGCAAGAGGCTTGGACATACAACAGGCATGTTTTAGTGTGTTAGATAGGAGTGAATAGAGATGAATGGATTTTGGAATGTGAGCAGGGTAATATTTTGTGAAGGGATTCAAGGAAACCAGTTAGCCGGATTTGAGACCTGGAGGTGAAAAGTACACCTTTAGGAAGGAGTTTGGGATATTTGTTGTTTGGAGTGACATCTGAAATGTATCTTCGCACCTCTGGAAAGACAGTGATGTGTGTGAATGATGGTGATTTTTTTTTCTTTTTTTTTGGGGGGGGGGTCACCCTGTCTTGGTGGGAGATGGCCAGCTTGTTGGAAAAAAGTTTTTGAGGAGAACCTTGAGTTACTTATAGTTTAAGCAACATTCAATTTACAGTTTCTCCAGGTATTTTGTAAGATGCCAGATGTTTGTTTTTAAATTTTTAGTCATTCCCATTAAAAACTTAAGGAAAACCAACAGCTTAAACAAGCTCATTTCAAAAATTTTCAGTTTTATTGAGAGAGAGACTTGGATTTGTGATTCAGACTACTGAAAATTGTGACACATTATTTTGCATAACTTATTCTGTATAATTTAATATTATATAAGGTATTGACTTAGGGTCTGGTCAAAGTACAGTGGTACCTTGACTTATGGGTGCCCCATAAGTCAAGGTTGATTTTTTGCTTTGAATTGCAAGCCAAAATCCTAGTTACAAGCGACCTTCAGATACACCGCCACTAATTGGCGGTGTATCTGAAGTCAAATCCAACTCTGCCTAGAGGAGTGTCAGGTACTTCGTTCCATCCCACATGCTCTTCCAAGATATAACTGGAAGGATAATACTCCCATGCTAATCCCAGATTGTAGCGAGGCACCTCGTCCCTTGTTAAGTTCTTGTATAAATCCAGGGAAGAGGTAATCTCCATTTCAGCACTGAGTTTTTCCAGAAACATTAATCCTTTGACTGTCGAGGTCGTATATATACGTCTTACGAGGTACCGTGTTTGACGTATATATACTCATAAATTCTAGCGGCTTCAAATCAAGCAGAAGAAAGCTGGTAGGCCCACATGTGAGAGAATGGGTCTGTGTGGTCAGTGTGCACCATATAAAAATCCTGGAGCATGCAGTGCATAATGAGAAAAAAAAACTCTGACTTTTTTTTTTTTAATTAAAATGCCGACTTGACTTTGTGGTCTATTTTCGTATAGCATTTATGGTTGTATTCTCGTTTTCTTGGTCTCATTTGATAGAACGGCAAACATATTATAGAAATAGAGGTGATTTTGATTGATTTTACTATAAAAAGAACCTGGAAATGGAGCTCAAAGTAGGGGAAATGTTTGATTTTTGCCGATGTTCAAAAGTAAACAAATGATGTCATTGTCCAATAAATGTCCAACTAGCCATTCTAATATGCAGTCATGAATGGGTTGATGTTATTTATACAATTATTGCAGCATTGCAGTAGTCTGCATAACAGTAAATCTTCTAATTTTTGTTTGAATAAAAATTCAAAATAGAAAGCAAGAGTAATATCAGAGGGGCTTGGAGACGTGACTGATGAACAAAGAAAATGTTATTTTAGAGCCAGGAATGTCTGCATTGTTCATTCTGGACCTTATTTTGAAATTGTCATATTTTTTAATTTTCGTGAAATTGGCCAAATTGCAAATTTCTGACCATGTTATTGGGTAGTTGAAATCAGTAAATGGTCAGTTTCTTGCACTCAATCGATAGAAAAAATGGAGTTCTAAAGAAATAGCTATGAGCTTGGTCGACTTGAACAATGGAATTAGCCGAAAATAGGACTCAAAGTGCACGAAATCGCCGATTTGTAAATACTGCCGAGGTCGCTAATTTCGTGAGAGCGTAATTCCATCAGTTTTCCATCAAATTTCGTGTTTTTGGTGTCATTACAATCGGGAAAAGATTCTCTATCATTTCATAAGATTTTTTTTTTTTTTGTTTTGTTTTTTTTGGAAATTTTGCGACACCAGGAGACTTCAGGATTGGGGGTTGCGACAGTCAAGGGGTTAATTAAGGTGGGTGGGGTAGTCATGGTGGTTGGTGAAATAGTGATAGTGGTGGTTGGAGTAGTGACGGTGGTGGGTGGAGTAGTGGTGGTGGTGGATGGAGTAGTCATGGTGGTGGATGGAGTAGTGATGGTGGTGGGAGTAGTGATGGTGGTGGGTGGAGTAGTGATGGTGGTGGATGGAGTAGTGATGATGGTGGGTGGAGTAGATATGGTGGTAGGTGTAGTGAGGGTGGTGGGTGTAGTAGAGATGGTGGTGGGTGCAGTAGTGAGGGTGATGGGTGGAGTAGTGATGATGGTGGGTGGAGTAGATATGGTGGTGGGTGGAGTATAGAATATTTCTTATTTATAAATATATTTTTTTTATTTAAGAACCCATAACAGAAAAATTGGGGTGGTTTTTTGGGAGGCTGGAACGGATTAATGGCATTTCAATTAATTTCAATGAGGAAAATTGATTTGACATACAAGCAAATTGAGTTACAAGTTCAGTCACAGAACGAATTAAACTCGTATGTCAAGGTACCACTGTACAATAATGTGTATTAAATGATGTTATTAATTTTAAACTAGATTCCCTTGAACAGAAGAAAATGGTTTAATAAATCACCTATTCAAATAGCTGTTATCCACATTGCTAGTGTAATATGAGAGTTGACACAACGTTGACCTGTTTTTGATTCTTAAAATTTGTATGTAACATTTTTTACTATGAATGATGTATCTCAGCCCTCAGATACAGGCTCCTGGAAAGAAGGAAGATTATCATACCTCCGACCACACGAGCCATCAGCACTTGAGATAGCAGCAGAACAAATGAGACTGTGGCCAAATATAGAACAAAGTAAGGCTTTTTTTTTGGGGGGGTGGGGGAGGAGGGAAGCAGAGTATGGAAGTACAGTGGACCCCCGGTTAACGATATTTTTTCACTCCAGAAATATGTTCAGGTGCCAGTACTGACCGAATTTGTTCCCATAAGGAATATTGTGAAGTAGATTAGTCCATTTCAGACCCCCAAACATACACGTACAAACGCACTTACATAAATATACTTACATAATTGGTCGCATTTGGAGGTGATCGTTATGCGGGGGTCCACTGTATATACATTCATTCATGCATGCATGCAGGAATCTCATCTAAGGGCTATTTATGCAGCTTTTGTTAGGTCCATTATGGAGTATGCAGCACCAGTATGTAACCTGGACCTGAAAAAGCATTTTAAGAAACTGGAAAAAGTGCAGTAGCACACAACAAGGCTTGCTCCTGAAAAGAGGGGCATGAACTAAGAGGAAGGCTACTGGAATTGAACCTAAGAACATTGGAGGACAGAAGAAACAGGGAATGCATGACAGCAACATACAGAATGCTCAGGAGAATTGATAAAGTAGATAGGGATAGGCTGTTTGAGAGACGAGAAATGAGAACTCGGGTACAAAGCTGTTGGAAGTTAAAGGCACAGGTGAGTCATAGGGATCTTAGAAAGTATTTCTTCATTCTCAACATGGTTTGGAAGTGGAATGATCTTGGTGAGGAAGTAGTGGGGGCAGGTGCTATACATAGTTTAAAGAGCAGGTACCATAGGGCTCACAAGGCTTAGAGGGAGTGACTCTGAAAAGTAGCAAGCTTAAGAGGCAGGGCCAACATCTAATAGTCAACCTCTGCAACCAGAAATGGATGAGTACATACACATACACACACCTTGGGTTGAGTATCATACCAAGCATATCCCCTTAGACACACATCAACGAAATAACTGAAGCAAATGTTCATCTGGCATATCTAAGAATAGATTATCAACACAAACGCAAGGAGTCATTCACGACTCAGTACACTGTGTGCGTCAGGCTCATATTGGAGTACACACCACCACTATCGAACCCACTACTGGTCAAGCATATCAAGAAACTGGAAAAGGTGCAGAGGCTTGCAGCAAGCCTAGTACCAGAGGTAAGGGGGAGGACAGGAGGGATAGGGGGATATGATGATGTATAAAATACAAAGAGAAGTTAATATGGTGAACAGGAACAGAATGTTTTCAGAGATGGTATACAGGATAAAAATAACACAACTGGAAGTTGAGAACTTTGGATGAGTCATAGAGATGTGAGGAAGTATATCTTCAGACTTATCAAGTTGCCGTGAAGTGGATCCATGCATAGCTTTAAGACGTACAGTAAGGCTCTGGGAGGCGGGAAAGTGCGGCCCTAGTAGCAACCAGCGAAGTGGAACCAGTGGCAGTGACTTGACCCCTGCAACCACGTATAGGTGCGCGCGCGCACACCCACACACACCTACACACAAACCGACACACCCACTCACACCTACTCACACCCACTCACACCCACTCACACCCACTCACACCCACTCACACCCACTCACACCCACTCACACCCACTCACACCCACTCACACCCACTCACACCCATCACACACACACACACAGACACACACACACACTCTCACACACACACATCCTAAACTAGGTCAACTAGGTCAACACTCACACACCACACACCACCACACACACACACACACACACACACACACCACACACACACACACACACACACACACACACACACACACACACACCACACACACACCACACACCACACACACACACACACCACACACACACACACACACACCACACACACACACCACACACACACCACACACCACACACACACACCACACACACACCACACCCACCACACACACCACCACACACACCACACAACCACACACACACCACACACACCACACCCCCACACACACACCACCACACACCACCACCACACACACACACCACACACACCACACACACACACACACCACACCACACACCACACACACCCCACACCACCCACACCACACACACACCACACACACACACAACACCACACCACCACACACACAAACACACACACACACACCACACACACACACACACACACACCACACCCACCACACCACACACACACCACACACACACACACACACACAACACCACACCACAACAACCCACACACCACCACACACACACCCACACACACACACCACACACACCACCACACCACACCCACACACACCACCACACACACACCCACACACACACACACCCACACCACACCACACCACCCACCCACACCACCACACCACACACCACCACACCACCAACACACCACACACCACACCACCACACACACCACACACACAACCACACCAACACCACACACACCCCACACCACACACCACAACCCAACACACCACACACACACCACACACCCACACACACACACACACACACACACCACACCACACACACACACACACACACACACCACACACACCACACACACCACACACACACCCACACACCAACACACCACACACACACCACACACACACACACACCACCACACAACCACACACACACACACCCACACACACACACACACCACACACACCACACACACCACACACACACCACCCACACACCACACACACACACACACACACACCACACCCACACACACACACACACACACACCACACACAACACCACCACACACCACACACACACACCACCACCACACACACACCCACACACACCACACACACACACACCACACACACACACACACACACACCACACACACACACACAACACACACACACACACACCACACACACACACACACACACACACACACACACACACACACACCACACACACACACACACACCCACCACACCACACACACACCCACACACACACACACACACCACACCACACCACACACACACCACACCACACACCCACACACACACCACACACACACCACACACACACCACACACACACACACACACACCACACACAACCACACACAACCACACACCACCACCAACACACACCACACACACCACACACACACACACACACCACACACACACCACACACACCCACACCACCCACACACACACCACACACACACACACACACACCACCACACCACACACCACACACCTGTATCACTAACGTGTATAGTATGCAAGGTCATGGAGAAGATCATCAGGAGGAGAGTGGTGGGGCACCTGGAAAGAAACAAGTGTATAATTGACAACCAGCACGGTTTCAGGGAAGAAAAATCCTGTGTCACAAACCTACTTGAGTTTTATGACAAGGTGACAGAAGTAAGACAAGAGAGAGAGGGGTGGATCGATGCGTATTTTTGGACTGCAAGAAGGCTTTCGCACAGTTCCTCACAAGAGGTTACTGCAAAAGCTAGAGGACCAGGCAACATAACAGGAAAGGCACTGCAATGGATCAGAGAATATCTGACAGGGAGGCAACAACGAGTCATGGTACGCGACGAGGTGTCAGAGTGGGCGCCTGTGACAAGCGGGGTTCCACAGGGGTCAGTCCTAGGACCTGTGCTGTTCTTGGTATAACGTGAACGACATAACGGAAGGATAGACTCAGAAGTGTCCTTGTTTGCAGACGATGTGAAGTTAATGAGAAGAATCGAATCGGACGAGGATCAGGCAGGACTACAAGAGATCTGGACAGGCTACAAGCCTGGTCCAGCAACTGGCTCCTTGAATTTAACCCTGCCAAATGCAAAGTCATGAAGATTGGGGAAGGGCAAAGAAGACCGCAGACACAATATAGTTTGGAGGGCCAAAGACTGCAAACCTCACTCAAGGAAAAAGATCGGGGGGTGAGATAACACGAGCATATCTCTGAGGCGCACATCAATCAGTAACTCTGCAGCTAGGGGCAAAAACCACGGTAGCTTTCCCGACCCCAGTAAGGTTTCTTTTTTAAGATCTGTACCCCATCTAGTCGGGCCCACTGGAGTATCAGCACCAGTTGAACCCACACCTAGTCAACCCGTAAAAGAAATTGAGAAAGTGCAAAGGTTTGAAACAAGATGTCCCAGGCTCGGGGATTGCCCTATGAAGAAGGTTGAGGAAAATCGGCCTGAGACATGGGGGCCAGGGGGTCAGGGGAGACATGTAACGACATATAAAAACGGCGAAATAGACGAGGGGGAAAAAGGGGGATGTTCCAGAGATGGGACACAGAAAAGAGGTCACAATTGGAAGTTAAAGACTCAGATGAATAAAAGGGGATGTTAGGAAGTTTTTCTTGGATAGAGAGGGGCCAGGTAGCTAAAAAGTGATGTGGTGGAGGGCAAAACCCTACATTTTTTAAGGCGGGGTATGATAGAGCTCATGGGGCGGGGGAGAGAGGGGGGCCCCAGTGCAATCAGCGAAGAGGGGGGCCCAGGAGCGGGGACTGACCCCTGAAAAAAATAGGTGAGTACACACACCACAAACACCACCATACACCACACCCACACCATGTAGTCGTGTTGCTGTCAGGGGGAAAATTTGATGAAATGTCGCACCATTTTTGATCCCCCGTGCCCATCTCCCCCTATGCGGAAATGTATACAGTAAAGGGCCCGAAGATCGGGAAATTAATTGCCATAACACATTTAAAGGACCCAAGCCTTCAAATAAATTTAAGGCCCTACTTAGAAATCGTCTTCCCAAAAATTTAATCAGGCATATCTTTAACTTTATACTTACCGATACTCTAAAGCTCCCGGAAAATTATAAAAACTTTGATGATAAACCAAAATTGTTTGTTTATTATTTATTGTGCGAGGTTGCTGACCCATTTGCTCATTATTTAAAAAATTGTTTTTTAAAATTTTTTTATTTAAATTGTACTAAATTGTAATACACCATATTGAAAATTGTTTTAAATTGTTCTATTATATACTGAAATTTTTATAAACTAATTAAATACTGAAATTTTTCTATGAATTCTCTAGTGAGTTATTAAACCCTTTGGTTACAAATAATACACAATTCTCTTGTTTTCCCCTGTAATGATCTAATGACCACATAAACTGTTATTCCCTTATTAATCTTAAGGTAATTTTTAAATTTGCTTGAAATGCTTACATACAAAGGGGGTTTTGGCATGTACACCCAACTATTATATCCCTTTGTACAACCCTTTCATGTCAAATTTAAAATTATTTTTAAAGTGGGAATTGATTTAATTTTTGGGAATGGTTTTTTTTGGTTAAACCCTTGCCTTGTAGGAGAAAGCTGTCGAGTAAAAAAAAAAAACAAAGGTTTGTGTAGAGAAAAGAGCACGAAATTCAGACAAGAGAAAAAAGCAAGTGTAGGGGAGTTAAAGTATGAACCCAAAATTTCCATACTTTAGGAGTTCTGGTGTAACTTAAAAATTTAAGAGAATTTATTTATGATTTCCTCAAACGTGAGACAATAAAGGGTTTTGGGTTTATTCAGTTACCCAGTTTTTTTTGGTGGGGATTGCTCTTTCGTTGTCAACCTTATATCATTTTTTTTTTTTTTTTAAAACAAGGACCATCTCCCACCCAAAGGGGTGACTTGAAAAGAAGAAAACTTTCATAAGTTTTTTTCTTTTTACATTTTTTTTGACAAAAGGGGGTTACAGCCCCCTGCTCTAGCAGTTTAGTTGCCCCTTAAACACACAAACCCCGCTTTCAGGGAGGGATTTTCTCCAATTCTACATTTATCTGTATAAAAAAAAATCTCCATGGGGAAGGAAACAGAATTCTTTTTCCCGCGTAAGCCATGCTGTTTTAACCCTTTTGGGGGTTTCGGGGCCCTACTAGTACGGCTTGGACCAGGGTTTTTTTTTGTATGTACGCCTGAATTTTGCGCCCTCAAAAACTAGTGGAGAAAGTGGAGGCATTTCTATGAAAAGAAAGGGTATGGGTCATGTGGAAAATAAAAAAAAAAAAATTTTAGGCAAGTGGCGTTAAAAAAAGAGAAAAAAAAAACTTTGACCCCCCTGTTTTTGGAAAAAAAACGCGACTTTGCACTGTATTTTCGTATGGTATTTATTGTTGTATTCTAGTTTTCTTGGTCTCATTTTTATAAAATGGAAGACATATTACAGAAATTGAGATGATTTTGACTGGTTTTGCAATGAAAAGTACCTTGAAATTGAGCTCAAAGTAGCAGAAATGTTCGATTTTTACCAAAGTTCAAAAGTAAACAAATCATGCCAAGCGTTCAATACACGTCAACTGGTGAGTCTAATATTCTTTCACAAGTGCGCTGATATTATTTATACCATTTCTACACTAATGCAGCAGTCTGCATAACAGGAAATCTTCTATTTTTTGTAAGAATAAAAATTGAAAGTGGAAAGCCAAAGAAATATAAGAGGGGCCTCGGGATGTGACTAACGACCAGAGGAAATGTTATCTTAGTGCCACGAATGTCTGTTTTGTTTATTCTGGACACTATTTGGAAATTGGCATCTTTTGAAATTTGTGTGAAATTGGCAAAATTGCTAAATTTTGACCACTGTATTGGATAGTTGAAATCAGTAAATGGGTGGTTTCTTGTACTCATTCAATAGAAAAAATGGAGTTCTAGAAAAATAGTTATGATTTGTGTCGACTAGTACACTGGAATTGGCCGAAAATAGGGCTCATAGTGGGCAAAATCCCGATGCATAAACATCGTCGAGACCGCTAACTTTGCAAGAGCATAATTTCGTAAATTTTCCATCAAATTTCATACTTTTGGTGTCATTATGATTGGGAAAAGATTCTCTTATCTTTTCACAAGAAAAAATAATTTTTTTTTTTTAAATTTGGCCGACCCTGAGAACAAGTCTCGGAGAGGGCCTGTCGACCCTCAAAGGGTTAAGAGGCGGCTAAAATGCCAGGAGCAAGGGGCTAATAACCCCCTCCTCCTGGTCACCCTGCCTTGGTGGGATACGGTCTAATTGTTGAAAAAAAAAAAGTGCATATGAGGGAGTGAGGGCAAGGATAATGCATTGTTTTGATGAGTATGTGTGTGCACGTTATTTATGAATCCATAAATATTCCACTAATTGTTTTCAGAGAAACAGCGAGAATTAGTTGAACAAGAAGAATCGACACTCTACTCACAAGCAATACATTATGCAAATAGAATGGTATTTCTTCGAATTCCTCTTGATGTCAATGCAGCTGTTCATAAACGAACCTTTAATGACAGGGACACTGCCAGTAACAGCATAACCAACAGGTGAGAGCTGTTTTCTCTTTTGATATGTATTTTGTATAAACCCGTGAAGTTGGCGCTGTATGCTCACCTGACAATATCAACTGCCACTTGCAGCTGTGTTAGCGATATACCTTTTTTTCTTGTTTTTATTTTAATTTATATATTTTTTACGTTCTGATAATTACAATTTATAATAGTTCTTGTGATTTCATAGCAAATCTATGTTCTGACACTAATATTAGGTACTGAAATAGTCACAATCACATTGACAGGTGAACATTTTCACCTGCCTGGGTCATTTACTATTGTCTAGAAATATATACAAAGTATTTATAAGTCCCAGCAATGTTTTAGACATGCTGGAGTATACCTTGAAGCATGGTGTTATGACAGGTGTCCCTATACTGTTGACAGCCCAGTGACACATGATAAAGGGGCACTCAGGGAACCCTCCCTTTATTTGTTTTCACTGTTATATACAAATATGTCTGTCTGTCTAGCTCTGCTTATGTCTTTCTGTCTGCCTGTGTGTGCCTGGAGTACATATGAAATCTTGAAGAATGGTGTTATGACAAGTGTTGACAGCCCAGTGACATTTGATAAATGGGCACTGCTCCAGCTAACCCTTGCTTTATTTTTTTCACTGGTACACACAAACATGTTTGTTTGTCTGTCTAACTTTGCCTGGAATTTTTGGGTTATCGTAGGTAATTTACACTATGTATAATTGTACTTATGTGTACATGTGAGAGAGAGAGACAGATATATAGACAGAGAGACATCCAGAGACAGCCAAAGCCAGCCAACCAGCCTGCCGAATACGTAAGAACATAAGAAAGAAGGAACACTGCAGTGGGCCTACTGACTTATGCAAGGCAGGTCCATGTCACCTCCCCTCCTCCCCAGCTTAGACCAATGATTCACCTAGTCAGGTAACATCCACTGAAGGAATGAGCATGGCATCAGACCTAGTAGCACAAGCTAGTCAGATCCAACTCACACCCACCCACACCCATTCATGTATTTTTTTTTTTTTTAACAAACTGGCCATATCCCACCAAGGCAGGGTGGCCCAAAAAGAAAAACAAAAGTTTCTCTTTTTAAATTTAGTAATTTATACAGGAGAAGGGGTTACTATGCCCTTGCTCTCCGCATTTTAGTTGCCTCTGACAACGTGCTTGGCTTACGGAGGAAGAATTCTGTTTCACTTCCCCATGGAGATAAGAGGAAATAAACAAGAACAAGAACTAGAAAGAAAATAGAAGAAAACCCACAGGGGTGTGTGTATATAGTATATGCTTGTGCATGTATGTGTAGTGTGACCTAAGTGTAAGTAGAAGTAGCAAGACGTACCTGAAATCTTGCATGTTTATGAGACAGAAAAAATACACCAGCAATCCTACCATCATGTAAAACAATTACAGGTTTCCTTTTTACACTCACTTGGCAGGACGGTAGTACTTCCCTGGGCGGTTGCTGTCTACCAACCTACTACCTACTCATGTATTTATCTAACCTATTTTTATTTTCCTCTTAAAAGAGGAGTGTTAATGCGACACGGCATCAGTGAATCCCTGGTGTTTGCCACGCTATTTACACACCAAGTGTTAAGACCCATTCTCTCTGTCTAGGCGACTCAGGCCTATCACCCCAATTTTGAAGGAATGAAAAATAAAACATTGATCTACGTCGGCAATGCAAGCAAAACAAAACGTATATCTATGTCTGGATAGTTTAAGGGTTAATCAGTGATCTGTTAGAATTGTAACAAGGTACATAGGCAATGTCAACTCTGCAGTATATCTTCATGAATTGTTATTAAATTACACTTAAACTGTATTGGTATAATAGAGGAAAATTTAGGTGTCAAGTCAGTAAATGTAGGCTTTCTATAAATTGATGTTGTGAACATATCAGTTTTTTCATTTAGAATATCCAAAAAAACTACTTTACAGTCCTTTTCTATTTTATAAGTAAATTTTATATTGAGATGTTGATCATTTGAGTAATCAAAGAATAACTGGACATGTTCAGGAGACTTGAAATCTAAAAAATATCATTTACAGGCATATTCAAAATAGAATATGAAGAGCCTTTCAGGGCAAGTGTTTACTGTGTTGATGTTTATTTACCTAGTGCAGTGAAACTGAAGTAAAGATGAAAAATAAAATAATAAAAAAGTAGGTATTTACTTAAAACCTATGGTAGTAAGCTGGTAGACATCAGCTGCCCAGGGAGGTACTACCCTCCTGCCAGCTGAGTGTAAAACAGAAGCCTGTTATTGTTTTACATGATGGTAGGATTGCTTGTGTCTTCTTTCTGTCTCATAAACATGAAAGATTTCAGGTACGTCTTGCTACTCCTACTTACACTTAGGTCACACTACACATGCATGTACAAGCATATGTATATACACACTCCTCTGGGTTTTCTTCTATTTTCTTACTAGTTCTTGTTATTGTTTATTTCCTCTTATCTCCACGGGAAGTGGAACAGAATTCTTCCTCCATAAGTTATGCGTGTTGTAAGAGGTGACTAACATCCTGGGAGTGACTGGTTAGTAACCCCTTCTCCTGTATACATTACTAAATTTAAAAAGAGAAACTTTTTTTTTTATTGTTTGTTTGGGCCACCCTGCTTCGGTGGGATACAGTCAGTTTGTTGAAAGAAGAAGAAAGATTTACTTAAAAAGTATTCGCACAAGCATGTTTAAAAATTCTACAGTCATATTTAATTATTTTTTTTAACCCCTTGAGGGTTGGATCCCCTGATTTGAGAATTGCTCTCAAGGTTGGGGAATTTAATTAAAAAAAAAATATCTTTTGAAATGATAATCTTTTTCTGAAGGTAATAAACCCAAAGGTTTGAAATTGATGGAAAACTCGTGGAATTATGGTATTGCAAAGTTAGCAGTCTTGGCGATATGTATGCATCGGCTATTTCGCCCACTTTGAGTCCTATTTTCGGCCAATTCCATTGTTCCAGTTGACCAAACTAATAGCTATTTCACTAGTATTGCTTCCATTCTATCATTTGAGTACAAAAAATGCCCATTTACCTATTTCAGCTACCCAGTAAAGTGATGAGAAATTGGTAATTTGACCAGTTTCACACAAAAAAATTACCCGTTTATAAATAAGTTCCAGAATAAATGATGTATTCTTTGTTCATTAATTATATCCCCAGGCCTCTCCTATATTATTCTTGCTTTCCATTTTGAGTTTTTATTGACACAAGATACAAGATATACTGTTATACAGACTACTGAATTATTGTAATAATTGTATAAATGATGTTGGTGCATTCCTGAACGGATATTAACTGACCAGTTTGTCGCGTATTGGACAAGTGGCGTAATTTGTGTACTCTTGAATATTGGCAAAAATTTAACATTTCCACTATTTTGAACTCAATTTCACACTACTTTCAATCCTGAAACCAATCAAAATCATCATTTATTATTTTTTTTTTTTAACATTCATTTTGTCAAATGAGACCAAGAATACAACTGTAAAAACCATACAAAAAGTACACTGCCAAGTTGCTATTTTAAACCAAAAATGTGGTTATTTTTTTCCAATTATGCGCTGCATGAGGCAGGAATTTTTATATGGTGCACACTTATTTCATAGACCCATTCACTCATTTTTTTTTTTAACAAATCAGCCATTTCCCACTGAGGCAGGGTGACTCAAAAAGAGAGAAAAAAATACTTTCATCATTCAACACTTTCACCATCACTTATACATAATCACTGTCTTTGCAGAGGCGCTCAGATACGACAGTTTAGAAGTCTCTCCAAACTGCCAATATCCCAAACCCCTCCTTTAAAGTGCAGGCATTGTACTTCCCATTTTCAGGACTCAAGTCCAGCTAACCAGTTTCCCTGAATTCCTTCACTCATCTCTAGGCAAAAAAAATTTGCTGCTGACAGCTTATCTGAGTGAGCTGAGCTCATCACATAGTTCTGCAACACTGAGTTCAAAGCCATAGTACTAAAGCACAGACCCCTAAAAGAGTTTATGTCTGTCAGTTTTGCAATAAAATGTTTTTCCTTACAGTATGGCAGAAAGTGACAGTTTAGATGCTGAGTCAGGATTTGAGGACCAGGAACAAAGTGACCGAGAAGCAAGTGTAGTGCGCTTTGTCTCCAGATTTGTAGACAAAGTGTGCACGGAAGGAAGTGTAACAGGTGAGACCTATTATTATTATAGCTCCTTCTGTGGTATCTTGTAAATATGATCTGTGTAGAATGTTGGTGAGATCATTTTAAAAATGAATTGTATCCAGTGTTATTTAACTATGCTTGGGATATCGCATGTGTGGAATTGTATAAAATAGTAGTTGTGAGAAATGTGGTGTAGTTTTATGGATGATTGTAGGATAAGTGTTGGTTATGGTGATGGTTATATTTGTAGTGATGGTGACTGCAGTGGTGGTATAATAATAATGGTGATGATTAGGGTTCTGTAAGTAGTGGATGTATTGGTAATAATCTTTTGAAATACAGTATATTAAAACTTCAGTTTAGTGGACAAATAAGGGGAGAGAGGGTGTCCATTAATACCGATTGTTCATTAAATTTGAATAACGAAAACAGTTCTGGATATAATGGACTTTCTTTGTTTCCAGATGTCCAGCCATAGATTTTGTCCATTAACCCGTAAATGGTCCAAACGTATATATACGTTTTTTCAACATTTGAAAGTATGTAAAAAAAGTAGATCTTCTTTTTGTTTTTTTACATTTGAAAATGTGTATAAAAACTTTGATCTACTTTTTTTTTTTGTTACATTTGAAAATATGTAAAAGAAACTTAGATCTACTTTTGTAGCACTACACATGTGAACGTAGATCTGCTTGGACCATTTACGGAGTAAATCAGAAATCCATTAAATTGATGTCTGTTAAACCAAGGTTTTTATGGCATAACTCATTATCCATGGAGGCAAAGAAAGGAATGTACAAAAGTATAGTGGTAACCAACACTCTTATATGGGTGTGAAGCTTGGGTTGCAAATGCTGCAGTGAGGAGGTGGCTGGAGGCAGTGGAGGTCCTTCTAAGGGCAATGTGTGGTGTAAATATTATGCAGAGAGTTCGGAGTGTGGAAATTAGGAGGAGGTGTGGCGTTACTAAAAATATTAGTCAGAGGGCTGAAGAGGGGTTGTTGAGGTGGTTTGGTCATTTAGAGAAAATGGATCAAAGTAGAATGACTTGAAGAGCATATAAATCTGTAGGGGAAGGAAGGCAGGATAGGGGTAGTCCTTGAGAAGGTTGGAGGGAGGGGGTAAAGGAGGTTTTGTGGGCGAGGGGCTTGGACTTCCAGCAAGCATGTGTGAACGTGTAAAATAGTGAATGGAGATTAATGGTTTTTGGGACCTGTCGAGCTGTTGGAGTGTGAGAAGGGTAATATTTTGTGAAGGGATTCAGGGAAACCGGTTAGCCAGACTTGAGTCCTGGAAATGGGAAGTACAATGCCTGCACTTTAAAGGAGGGGTTTGGGATATTGGCAGAGTGGAGGTTGACAATGATTATGTATGAGACAGTCCATCATTCATTCATTCATTAGAGATTTGCCGGTACTTCCGGTCCGGGTCTTCTCCAGATGGTGACCCAGCGGTGGCCCCCGGGGCCGGGGTGTCGTTCGTCTTCATTCTTCTTGGGCCCTCCGGTTGGAGGGTAACTTCTTCTTCTATCATGCATTGACTCCACCAGTGGGGAGTGTCTTCTCGCTTGGGAGCTTCAGTGTCACAGTTGGGCAGAGGCAGAAAACAGGGTCCCATTGGAGCCACACCCCAGCTTTAGCAGACAGCAAAGTGCTGGGGAAACTTGTCTTGATGGTAGTGCTAGAGGGAGGTACCCTCTGCACCAGTCTGATTCGGAGGTATCAGCCTGTTCTTCAGTGCTTCGTGGTCGATTCCAGCGTTGCTGAGGGCAGTGTAGATACGGTTGGCAAAGCATTCCAAGTTGGGTGACAAAATGTCGTTGATGTCTTGCTCACATTCTGGAGTTCGCATTGGGTTCTTCTTCTGGTTGGTTGTGCAGTGTCCACCACTCTTGCCCTTGGCTTCTTGTTGCCCTGGGGGATTGGTAGTGGCCTGGGGAGCTGCAGCCCTTGGTTCTTGAGTTTTGGCAGTCTTGACCTTGGCTCCTTGTTGTGGTGGAGCAGTAGTAGCGGTATGGGTAGTTGCAGCCCTTGGTTCTTGAGTTTTAGCTTTCTTGGCTGGCGGTTGAAGTGTCAGAGGCAAGGCCTCAGCTTGGATAGTTGCTGTGGTGGTGGAGGCAGGCGGTGGTGGACTCTCATTGGTGGGATTTGCCGACGTATCAGTGGTCTCAGATTGGTCCATCTCTATGTCGAGTGGAGGTTGGGGTCAGTGGGTGGAACAGCGTTATGCTGGCAATATTTGCATTTGGGTTTTTAGGATCTCACTGGAAGGTGGTGGTGCAGGGAATGTGAGTCCAGGCATGTTGTTTAGTTTGAATACTTCGTTGATGGTGGTGTTGAAGGAGCCAGGCTCAGCTGCATTCTGTACATGAGCATACATGATGCAACATAGGATCTTGGTGGGATCGGCAGCAGGTGCTGTGAGGGAAGTGGTAGGAGCAGCTTGCGTGGCTTGTAGTATCTTGGTAGTGTCTGCTTGAATCTTGGCAATAGCAGAATATGTGGGTGCTTGTGGTTTGGACTTCTTTTGTTGTTGTTGTTGTATGAGTGAGGTGAAAGTGTTGAATAACATTTAAAGTATTTTCTTTTTGGGGATTTTTTCTTTTTGGCTCGCTGTACCTCGGTGGGAGATGACCAACATGTTGAATAAAAAAAAAAAAACTAAACAATTTAAAATGATAAAATTTATAATACATAATACACACAGTACCAATATGTTGAATGCAGTAGTTAGACCAGTTAGCTGAACTTGATTCCTAGAGGAGGGAAGTACAGTTCCTATAATCTGAAGAAGGGTTGGGGATGTTTTCAGTGTGGAGGGCCATTTGAATTGTGATGTTTTCTCAGTACTGGTGGTCTACAAAATGTTTTGAGTTTAAACCATACCCCCGGCCGGGATTGAACCCGCGGTCATAGAGTCTCAAAACTCCAGCCCGTCGCGCTAGCCACTAGACCAGCTAGCCACAATAAGATTCATCCAACTAGGTATATTTCTACACCATAGGAAAGTTAGCACAGGCACCTCTGTGACCACAAATGCAAGTTTTTACAGACGAATCTCCAGCTAGCGTGGTCGTGACGAACTCTAGCTCAAGTCCCTTCACTGCCGTCAACATGACTTAAGAAATCGTAATGACACGATTGCAAATAAACCATACCCCCGGCCGGGATTGAACCCGCGGTCATAGAGTCTCAAAACTCCAGCCCGTCGCGCTAGCCACTAGACCAGCTAGCCACAATAAGATTCATCCAACTAGGTATATTTCTACACCATAGGAAAGTTAGCACAGGCACCTCTGTGACCACAAATGCAAGTTTTTACAGACGAATCTCCAGTAGCGTGGCCGTGACGAACTCTAGCTCAAGTCCCTTCACTGCCGTCAACATGACTTAAGAAATCGTAATGACACGATTGCAAATAAAACCATAACCCCGGCCGGGATTGAACCCGCGGTCATAGAGTCTCAAAACTCCAGCCCGTCGCGCTAGCCACTAGACCCAGCCGGGGGTATGGTTTATTTGCAATCGTGTCATTACGATTTCTTAAGTCATGTTGACGGCAGTGAAGGGACTTGAGCTAGAGTTCGTCACGGCCACGCTAGCTGGAGATTCGTCTGTAAAAACTTGCATTTGTGGTCACAGAGGTGCCTGTGCTAACTTTCCTATGGTGTAGAAATATACCTAGTTGGATGAATCTTATTGTGGCTAGCTGGTCTAGTGGCTAGCGCGACGGGCTGGAGTTTTGAGACTCTATGACCGCGGGTTCAATCCCGGCCGGGGGTATGGTTTATTTGCAATCGTGTCATTACGATTTCTTAAGTCATGTTTTGAGTTTGTTATATAGGTGTTTTTATAATGTTCATGAATTTTATTGCAAATCTTCATTTTCATTATATGGAGTTAATACATTTTACCAAAGAAGAAGGCAGAATTTCTGTTATTTTTTATTATTAAATTTGGTATAAACCTTGGTAATAAATACCGACAAGTTGGTTTAGAAAGACACGTAAACAAACACTATGACATATTTATTAGAAAACGTTTTGTTCCTGGGACCTTGATCACTTCTAACACACAGAGGTAGAAAGGCATTATATATATAGGCGGAGAGTGAGATGTGACGCACGTGACCTGAGGAATGTCATAAGAACATAAGAATGGAGGAACACTGAAGAAGGCCTACTGGCCCATGCGAGGCAGGTCCTTATCAAAACAACCTCTGCCTATGATGAGGACGGGTAGACGATGAAATCATGTGACTCCTGTGTTGTTGGGTTGGTGGTGCTTAAGTATCATGTATGCCAATGTTTTTGAAATTTTGTAGTTTCCAGTATTGCGTTCTATAGTGTCGGTGATGGCGATTAGTGAGGCTTCTAGGCAACGTCGGTGTCTGAGGTCTGGTTCGATGAGAACGAGTTGTGCCTCATTCCAACACTGGAAACTACAAAATTTCAAAAACATTGGCATACATGATACTTAAGCACCATCAACCCAACAACACAGGAGTCACATGATTTCATCGTCTACCCGTCCTCATCATAGGCAGAGGTTGTTTTGATAAGGACCTGCCTCGCATGGGCCAGTAGGCCTTCTTCAGTGTTCCTCCATTCTTATGTTCTTATGACATTCCTCAGGTCACGTGCGTCACACCTCACTCTCCGCCTATATATATAATGCCTTTCTACCTCTGTATGTTAGAAGTCATCAAGGTCCCAGGACAGAAACGTTTTCTAATAAATATGTCATAGTGCTTGCTTACGTGTCTTACTAAACCATTATTAAATTTACCAGATGGAAAATGGATTTAAGGAAAAACGAATGTATTTATAATAAGATTTTTCTCAACAGAGGAGCACATAAAGTCCTTACATCAGATGATACCAGGTGTGGTAGCTATGCATGTTGAGATGTTGGATGCAGTGTACAAAGAATCTAAACGCTTACCACCAATACAGAAGGTTAGTTGCACCATCATGTTTGATTTTCAGATTTGTTTTTATTTGATGTCAGAATATTAATAAGAGTAAACTGTACTGAATGAATATATTTACTTAGCCATATAATTCTTGTATTTGAGGCTTAGATTATGAAATGCTTAGACTTCATTAATATGTATTGTTATATTTTGAACCTTAAGTCTTATTATTTTTCAGTGTTTATTTTTACAGCGAAGAAAAGTATAAAATAAGCATTGATATTTCATATAAGTTTTACATTTATTTTATAGTTTTGTTTAGGAAAGAATACATAATGATAGTAATGCCATTGGTCTTGATCCTCTAGTCGACTATATACATCAGACGTGATGCATATAGGCAGAGTGTAGATGGTACTTACAAACCTGATCCAAGGTACACAGAAATAGTTTATGGTCAGGTAAGTCATAGGAACGGTTGTTTTGCTTCATTCCATGTCTAATGTTGGAATTTACTCTTTTGGGAGTCTTATTTGATTGTCCAGTCTGCTGCTTTTTTAGTTCATGTTGATGGTATGGTTATGGTTTTAAAACTCACGGTGAATAATTATTAATGCAGTGCAATAGGCATCATTTTGTTGGTAATCATGTTATGATGAACATTCTCTTTACATAATAGAAATTTTTTAATTCTGCTCATAAGTAGCAAATTGTATCGAAGTTAAAAATTTTCATGAAATTATTAGCATTATGAAATTAAAAGTCATTATGAATAAAATATTATTTGCCCAAATAAATTAATTTTCAAATGATTTATTCTTTATTATTTAGACCAGTTGTTTTTGCATAAGAAAATGCTCATCTCAAAAATAATAGTGTTCATATTTTTGAACTGATAGCTCTTTCAATGAAGAAAGATGCACAAGATTGGCTATGGGTAGATATGTGTTATAATTCATGCTTTTTCATAAGCTGATAAATAATTTGTTTTCCATACTGAATATTCACTTCACAAAATGTGTAAAATAAAATTTAAGTTTTGTAATTTCTAAGGGTACCAAATGATGTTGATAATCACATGATGACAAGGTTTATTGATCTAAAATGATGTCAGCTATGAATTCTAGTGTTCTAGCTACACATCTTATACCTTCTTTTTTAATTGAAATTATCCCATCTGCCTAATGAAATCATTGTTATTTAAAAGATACAATTTTTTTTTTTAGCCCAAGATTCTTTTGCCATCATTAGTACCTGGAGAGGAAGTTATGTACGAGGGTCTGCGAGTTTACTTGTTGCCTGATGGTCGAGAGGAATCTACTGGAGGTCATGTGGGCGGTCCTATGTTACTGCCTGCTGAAGGAGCATTGTTCCTCACTAATTACAGACTCATATTCAAGGGTCTCCCTACTGACCCTTATGGTAAGTTGTCAGATGAGCAGTATTATATTATCTCTTGCTATTGAATTATAAAGGATTTATGTATTGCTTTCACACTAATATGAAATAAACTTTTTCTTTGCATAGCGTGTGAACAAGTAGTTGTGCGGTCTATGCCTGTGTCGTCCATAACCAGAGAAAAGAGAGTACCAGCCAATCAACATCCAGGTCCTATGGATCAGTGGCTAAACGAAGGCCTTCAGATACGATCTAACACCTTCCAGGTGCAGTATGCAAATTTCTTTTCAGGCTATTGTAATTTTGTAATTAGGGGACATTAGATGATCTGAGTTACAACATAATTTATCCATATTTGTTAAAATGCATTTATCCAGACCCTGACAGTAACAGTTTTTCATTTACAGTATAATGTAATGACTCAGTAGCTAAAGCATTTAAGGTATATAATATGTACAGTAGGGCCCCACTTTTTGGCGTTTCGCCTTACGGCATTCCATTAACCCTTTGACTGTCGCGGCCGTATATATACGTCTTACGAGGTACCATGTTTGACGTATATATACTCATAAATTCTAGCGGCTTCAAATCAAGCAGGAGAAAGCTGGTAGGCCCACATGTGAGAGTATGGGTCTGTGTGGTCAGTGTGCACCATATAAAAAAAATCCTGAAGCATGCACTGCATAATGAGAAAAAAAAAACTCCGACCGTTTTTTTTTTAATTAAAATGCCGACTTTGTGGTCTATTTTCGTATAGTATTTATTGTTGTATTCTCGTTTTCTTGGTCTCATTTGATAGAATGGAAAACATATTATAGAAATAGAGGTGATTTTGATTGATTTTACTATAAAAAGAACCTAGAAATGGAGCTCAAAATAGGGGAAATGTTTGATTTTTGCCAATGTTCAAAAGTAAACAAATGATGCCATTGTCCAATAAATGTCCAACTAGCCATTCTAATATGCAGTCATGAATGGGTTGATGTTATTTATACAATTATTACAGTATTGCAGTAGTCTGCATAATAGTAAGTCTTCTATTTTTTGTTTGAATAAAAATTCAAAATAGAAAGCAAGAGTAATATCAGAGGGGCCTGGAGACGTGACTGATGAACAAAGAAAATGTTATTTTAGAGCCAGGAATGTCTGCATTGTTCATTCTGGACCTTATTTTGAAATTGTCATATTTTTCAGTTTTCGTGAAATTGGCCAAATTGCAAATTTCTGACCACATTATTAGGTAGTTGAAATTGGTAAATGGGCAGTTTCTTGTACTCAATCGATAGAAAAAATGGAGTTCTAAAGAAATAGCTATGAGTTTGGGTGACTGGAACAAGGGAATTAGCCGAAAATAGGGCTCAAAGTGGGCGAAATCGCCAATTTGTAAACAGCGCCGAGGTCGCTAACTTCGCGAGAGCATAATTCCGTCAGTTTTCCATCAAATTTCGTTTTTTGGTGTCATTACAATCGGGAAAAGATTCTCTATCATTTCATAAGAAAAAATAATATATTTTTTTTTTTTAAATTTTGCGACACCAGGAGACACCTCAGGATTGGGGGTTGCGACAGTCAAAGGGTTAATATGACGTTCTCAAATTATGACCAAAACTTCCTATACGGCAAGTGGTCTTTCAAATACGGCGTGGGCCACCCGGTTTGTTTACATTCCCCGGTTTGTTTACATTCTCCATGAGCACATCTCTCATTTATGTAATAATAATCACTCTTAGGCACATTAAATGTCTAATTTTATGTCAATATAAAAATTTTCATTAATCCAGCTATAATATTTTCTTCAAAATTATATAAGAAACACGTTACATCGCATATAAACATGCTGTTTATATGTTATGGAGGTGTGGTTGCCGGGTGGAGGGAAAACATTGTCACTCCCCTTAATACATAATGCTTTCGTTTACAATTCTCGGCTTGAATTATTCATTACTTCTCCCTTTGTTTATAATGGCATCTAAAGGTAGTTGTTAGAAACGATTCAACTCAGTGAACATGGTATGTCGATGGTAATAATATGGCTCTGAGCCACATCAACCCTTTGACTGTTTCAGTCGTACATATATGTCTTACGAGCCATCGTGTTTGACGTATATATACTCATAAATTCTAGCGGCTTCAAATCAAGCAGGAGAAAGCTGGTTGGCCCACATGTGAGAGAATGGGTCTGTGTGGTCAGTGTGCACCATATAAAAAAATCCTGCAGCACACAGTGCATAATTAGAAAAAAAACTCAGACCGTTGTTTTTTTTTTTAATTAAAATGCCGACTTTGTGATCTATTTTCGTAGAGTATTTATGGTTGTATTCTCATTTTCTTGGTCTCATTTGATAGAATGGAAAACATATTATAGAAATAGAGGTGATTTTGATTGGCTTTACTAGGTAAAGAACCTTGAAATGGAGCTCAAATTAGGGGAAATGTTTGATTTTTGCCAATGTTCAAAAGTAAACAAATGTCATTTTCCAATAAATGTCCAAGTAGCTTTTCTAATATGCAGTCATGAATGGGTTGACATTATTTATACAATTATTACAATATTACAGTAGTGTGCGTAACAGTAAATCTTCTATTTTTTGTTTGAATAAAAATTCAAAATAGAAAGCAGGAGTAATATTAGAGGGGCCTGGAGACATGACTGATGAACAAAGAAAATGTTATTTTAGAGCCAGGAATGTCTGCACTGTTCATTCTGGACCCTATTTTGAAATTGTCATATTTTTTAATTTTCGAGAAATTGGCCAAATTGCAAATTTCTGACCACGTTATTGGGTAGTTGAAATCGGTAAATGGGCAATTTCTTGTACTCGATCGATGGAAAAAATTCTATTGTTCTGGAACAATAGAATTAGCCGAAAATAGGGGTCAAATTGGGCGAAATTGCCAGTTCATAAATATCACCGAGGTCGCTAACTTTGCGAGAGCGTAGTTCCATCGGTTTTCCATCAAATTTCGTTCTTTTGGTGTCATTACAATCGGGAAAATATTCTCTTTCATTTCATTTTTTTTTTTTTTTTTTTTTTTTTTTAAATTTTGCGGCACCAAGAGACACCTCAGTATTTGGGGTTGAGACAGTCAAGGGGTTAATCTTGAAGATGCCATATTAATAATAATAATAACACAATAATCACTCTTAAGGGGCATTAAATATCATATAAAACGTTATCATAGACATTTTGCTTAATCCAATATTAACCTTGACCTAAAACGCTTTCTTGATAGTTGTGACAGAACCCACAGGCACAACACCAGACACAAACATCTCTATGACATTCCCCGTGTCCGACTAAACCTTTACAAAAATTCAATGTATGTCAAAGGCCCTAAAATCTGGAACACCCTACCTGAAAATTCCAAAACTGCAGACACATTCATCACCTTCAAAACTACCATCAGAAAACATCTTATCTCCCTGATACACCCTGTCAACTAATAATAGGAATACCACCTGGTGGTTCGCACTTACACTCACCCATTTGACCATAAACAGAAATATCAATCTCAATCTCAAAATAATGAATCTTAACTAGTCATAAGTTGGCCTGTGATACTCCAATACTGAAACTACGTATAGTGCCAAAACAAAAGCATTCACATTGCTAAACTCACAACTAGTATTTAGTCACTTAGCCATAATACCAACTTATCTCATAATTTTGTAACATTTTAAACCTAAGATTTAATATAAGTCTGCCCGAAATGCCTAGCCATGCTAGGCGTTCTAGTGGTACACTCTGTAATTATTATTTTACTACATGTAAACCACACAATAACCAAATTCTGTAAACTCAGCATTGTAATACTTATAGAGAATAAAGTTTGAATCCAATACACCCCACAGTCGAATAAATTAACATAAATGTGAGATGTCCTGGCTTTAAGTGAAACAAAGATGAAGGGGGTAGGAGAGTTTCATTGGAGAGGAATAAATGGGATTAGGTCAGGGGTTTCAAATAGAGTTAGAGCTAAAGAAGCAGTAGCAATAATGTTGAAGGATAAGTTATGGCAGGAAAAGAGGGACTATAAATGTATTAATTCAAGGATTATGTGGAGTAAAATAAAGGTTGGATGTGAAAAGTGGGTTATAGTAAGTGTTTATGCACCTGGAGAAGAGAGAAGTGTAGAGGAGAGAGAGAGGTTTTGGGAAATGTTAAGTGAATGCATGGGGAGTTTTGAACCAAGTGTGAGAGTAATGGTGGTTGGGGATTTCAATGCTAAAGTGGGCAAAAATGTTGTGGAGGGAGTAATAGGTAAATTTGGGGTGCCAGGGGTAAATGAAAATGGGGAGCCTTTAATTGAGCTATGTGTAGAAAGAGGTTTAGTAATAAGTAATACATATGTTATGAAGAAGAGGATAAATAAATATACAAGGTATGATACAGCACGTAATGAAAGTAGTTTGTTAGATTATGTATTGGTGGATAAAAGGTTGATGGGTAGGCTCCAGGATGTACACGTTTATAGAGGGGCAACTGACGTATCGGATCATTATTTGGTTGCAGCTACAGTTAGAGTAAGAGGTAGATGGGAAAAGAGAAAAATGACAACAAGTAAGAGAGAGGAAAGAGTGTATAAACTAAGGGAGGAGGAAGTTCGGGTGAAATATAAGCAACTATTGGCAGAAAGGTGGACTGGTGCAAGTATGAGCAGTGGGGGGTTTGAAGAGGGTTGGAATAGTTTTAAAAATGCAGTATAGAATGTGGGGCAGAAGTTTGTGGTTATAGGAGGGTGGGGGCAGGAGGAAAGAGGAGTGATTGGTGGAATGATGAAGTAAAGGTTGTGGTAAAAGAGAAAATGCTAGCTTATGAGAGGTTTTTACAAAGCAGAAGTGTTATAAGAAGAGTAGAGTATATGGAGAGTAAAAGAAAGGTGAAGAGAGTGGTGAGAGAGTGCAAAAGGAGAGCAGATGATAGAGTGGGAGAGGCACTGTCAAGAAATTTTAATGAAAATAAGAAAAAATTTTGAAGTGAGTTAAACAAGTTAAGAAAGCCTAGGGAACGAATGGATTTGTCAGTTAAAAACAGAGTAGGGGAGTTAGTAGATGGGGGGAGAGGGAGGTATTAGGTAGATGGCTAGAATATTTTGAGGAACTTTTAAATGTCGATGAAGAAAGGGAGGCGGTAATTTCATGCACTGGACAGGAAGGTATACCATCTTTTAGGAGTGAAGAACAGGATGTGAGTGTGGGGGAGGTGCGTGAGGCATTACATAGAATGAAAGGGGGTAAAGCAGCTGGAACTGATGGGATCATGAC